ATAATAAGGCGAACGGGGGTCAGCAGGTGGGGTGGGGTGTGATGAATTGACAGTCTGGGTAGGCAAGGATGGACATGGTGGGCACACAGTGGTAGGAGTTGGTTTCAAGTGTTTAAAACAGGCGTGTCCAAAGTCCGGCCCGTGTTCCGGTTTAATATGGCCCCACGGGTAATTTGGCAATATCTATCTTTTATGGCCCCCAATGAATCCATATGTATTGAGATGAATACATTGTAAAATCTCAGTTAAAGTCAGTTGGTCTAAATCAGTTATAAATATATTTGGACACAACATGTATACTTGGTGTTATGTTCCTGTTCATATTTTTTGAACTTAAAAGTTGACAGACAACCTTTATTACCAATAATATGTAATGTACTTTACAATGTTCCTGACATATATTTCAGCTTCCTGGATTTTTTTTTTCATCTGGCCTTCAGATATGAAAGGCAGAGTGATTTAACACCTGTTTAGATTTGTCATCCATGTGACGAAATGAAAAGTATGCTGTTTGCAATAAACTTTGCATAAAATAGTTAATTTGCATTTAATTTTAATGGTTCAAAGAATGTCAGGCAAAATGGTCGGCCCTCACGCATGTTCACTTCATCAAATCTGGCCCTCTTTGAAAAAAGTTTGGACACCCCTGGTCTAGACAGTACTGGGTCCTGCTGTGAGGGCAGCGGACTGGACTCGGTAGCCTCTCGAGGTCCCTGCCAGTTCTAGGATTCTGCGGCGTTCCTGCACATCCAACAACAGCCTTCTCATTCCCTCGCGTGCACTGATGTTGGGCTCCTCCTGTTACCTGCTCACCTGCACCAGCACTTACCTGTCCTGGAGTCTCTCTTGGGTATCCTTCAGCCGGGCCTTCAGATGCCGAATGCAGACCTCCTTCTGCTGGAGGGGGGTCAGGTACTGCTCAGGAGTGGGGGGTTTTATGCCATGGTTGTCGCTGCACAGGCTATACTTGATTGGCCGCCTGGGGGAACATGACAGTCAACATCCCCACCAAGCAACCCAAGTCCAGCTCCATCGGCACTGCCCTCAGCTCCTTGGCTTTGCAGGCAGGGATTCTGCACAACCGGGAGCCAGGGCGCCGGCTGCTAGGAGCCAGGAATCTCCAAGAGAACAAGAGGGGCATCACCAAGTGGGGAATTTTAACGGTTTCCCCCCCGTTTCTCAGGATGCCAAGTACAACCCCCCGGAATGACCCGCCCTCCTGGCTTCCAGCGGGACACCCCAGCTGCCCACACCTAGAGCCGCCCAGATCCCGCCAGTGGGACTAACAGGACGCCCCTCTCGCCCAGCTGCGCAAGCTACTCCTAGAGTGGGACACCCGGGGAGAACGTTGGGAACTGCCGAATGCATTTCCATTCAGAGTTCAAAGCAGACTGAGCCTGTACCCTGATTCCCTCGGGACACCCCCCTCCAAGGCAGGATCCGTGCCGCAGTCCTGAGCCACGTGGCCCTGGTCACTAGAGATCCACGGGCGTGGACAGACCCACCGAAGACAAGCCCTTGCCCCCAAACAGCTCACAGTCCCTCTGTGGGCAGCAGGATGGGCGCGGCGGACAAACCCTGGAAAATGCAAGCGCCAGAAGAGAAGGCGCCTGTGACGAGAGGCGCTGGCAGAAACGCCGCTGGCCCGTTTGCAGACGCCAGCAGGAAAGCTGGGCCGATAAGAAGCTGAGAACCTTTGCAGAGCTCCGCTGGGCGAGAGGGGACCCTTGCAGGCAGCACACCCCCTAATCTCGCTCCTCGGCAAGGCAAGATTCTCAGGGATTTTCTAAAGGAGCCCAAGGGGGGAGCTCTCCCCGGGAACACGGAACCGGCAGCACGTTCCCCAGGGCCGGAGAGATCTGGATTAGAACTTGCTTGCTAGGAAGGGGCACCCAGAGGGTTCTCGGGGCTGGGACGAGGACTTCATCGTGGGCTTTGCTCCTGCACAGCAACGGCCGCACGAAGCCGCTGGACAAGGGGGATGATCAGTAGCTGCTGCTCAAGAAGGCTGGGGCTGAATTAGAAGGGGGGTTGCCTCTCGGGATGGAAGCATCTTGACCCGAGTGCGTGGGAGCCTGGAATGGGAGCAGGGCAGGGGGTCGAGCCTCTAGCTGCAGACTCTGGCTAGCTTGCTAGGTCATCGCTTGCCGGAGTTGTGCATCCATCCAGAAATCAACCCAAAGGGTCTCTCCTAGCAGGGCACCCGTGGGCCCAGAGGGTCTCTGGAGAACCAAGGAGTTTGGGGGGGCCCATCGGGAATGAGGTTTGATCCAGCCCTCAGCACACGAAACGCTGCAGACAAACAAGCCCAGCTGGTCTCAAGCCAACGGAGCTGCACGGGGGAGCCAAGCGCGGTGAAGGGGGGTGGACGGAGAAATTGCCCCTTGGCTGTGAAACCCGGCGTCGTTTATCCCCAGGCCAGGGGGCTGAGGCTCATGCAGCCAAGGCCTTCGGCTGCACGGCCTGCGCAAAGCCCGCCAAGATATGAGGCAGAGCAAGGCCCGGCTCAGACGTGCAGCGTGTGCAGGGGGAGTAGACGCGCGGAAACCCAAGCCAGCTGGGTGCTGGGTCGGCAAAGGGCTGCGGCACGACATGCAGACAAGCAGTGCCAGACAGAGAGCCGAGGGGCTCCCAGTAGCTGCCCGGAAGACGGGGGTTTTCTGAGCCGGTCAGTCCTTCCCAGCCCCCTCTGAGGGAGGGGGGTGTTTCCTTCTCACGAGAAGTTGGCCAGTTTCTCCCCGGCCTGGGCCTTTCTATGGGGAACCAGCAGTTACATCTGGGAGCAGAGATGGGGGCAGGAATGACTCATTAGAGACCGGGGAGCAACTTAGCTGTCTGCATTTCACAGCATCCCCAGACCTAGGGGCCCACTCCCTGGGGATAGCGGAGCAACAGGAGCTGTGTCGAGTCTCCGGGGCCATTGCGTGTGCTCCGTGCTCTACCATCACAGGGCCCAGGCAGAATTCTCCTCTTCCGACAAGCCCAGCGGTCTCCCGCCTTCCCGTCCGGCATCCTCTGGGCATCACCGAGGGACAACCGCCGACAGTGCTTGTCTCCCGGGCGCCTGACGGCTCTCACGGTATCCCACCGGTGTGCGAGGAGGGGGAGCAGACAAGAGGCAACAGCGTGGGTGATGGGGGGCGGGGAAGCAACAAAGGGAAAAGGGTGTTTGAAAATCAAGATGATGGGAGGGAAAGGAAATGGAGTCGGGAGGGGGACGTTGTGGACAAGGACACCAGGGCCAAACCTGCCTCTGACGTGACCGTTCTGAACACTCGCCGTGCCTGGCCTGATGGCACGTGCGCATTCCCCGGCCCACAGGACTAAGGGACGTCATGCCCGGGACTCCGACCCAGGCTGCTCGTTGCCGGGACAGCCAGCGACTGGGGAAAATGGCCGTGCTCTCTGCAGCAGTCCGCCTTCGAGGCTTTC